AACTTCTTCCAAGTCTTCTGATCTCAGAAAACTAGATTTCATTTATAAATTTAGATTAGATAAATTAAAAGGTCACATTCTGTGGATTGGCCAGGTTCAAGTGCTCAACAGTGACATGTGGCTCATGGTTACTACAGGGGACAAGGCTGAATGCAGAACATTGTGAAGCTTTCAGAAAATTCTACAGAATAGTGATGTTGGGGCCCACAACTCTTATTCTGGGGTAACACAGCTGCCAGCAGCAGGACCCCTCTCAGGGGCGGCTCCCACCTCTTCCTACCTCTCACTTGGGTTCCAGGGACAGACCTGGCCAACAGGAGATGCTGAGGCCAGAGACATTCCCCATGATTCTTAGAGTGTGCACCCCATGTCCAGGCTTGGAGTGGCTGCCCAAGGGGAGAGCTGTCCCTGCCTCCAGCTGACACCTGAGGCCACCAGATGCTCCATTCCAGACATCCGGCTGTTCTCCATGGTACCCTACGTACTCAACATCACTGCTGTCCACCCCTGGGGCACCAGCAGCAGCTTCCTGCCCTTCATCGCAGAGCACATCAGTGAGTAGGGGTGGCTGCCAGCTCCTTCCTTCTCTTCCCTTTTCACCCTCACCTTCCCCATCTGCCTCCCACAAGTCATCTAGTTCTGTGGAGCCACCTTTGCAGTGTATCAAAAATGTGACACATTCTTTCCATTCCTCTGCCTCTGCCAGGCGTGCCCCAGCATTGCCGGCCTGGACCAACCTATCCCCTCTTCCCTGGTTCTCCTGCCCTCACTGCCCCCCCGCCCTGCCCATAGCCTGTCCTACCCACAGCAGCCTCCAGAGGCCATGCCTGTGAGCACCTGAGTTGGAGCCCATCCCTCCTCTACCCACAACCCTCCATGGCTCCTGCCTCCCTCAGGGTCAAAACTCAAGTCCTCCCTGAGGCCCACAAGGCCCTGCATTACCTGCACTGTTCCCTCCTTCCCTCTCCTCTTCCCTTTCTCCCCCTCCTCCCTCTGCTCCAGCCAAATGGGCCTCCTCCCTGTGCCTCCAACACTCTAGGGGCAGTCCTGCCCCAGGGTCTTTGCATGGGCTGTTCCCGCTGCCTGGAATACCCTTCCCCCAGATGTCACTACATCTATTCTTTTACCTCCTTTAGTCTTGACTCAGGCGTCACCTCCTTACTAAGGACTCCTTTAGTAAATTAAAAAAATTGCAAACCCTGGTCAGGTGTGGTGGCTCATGCCTGCAGTGCTAGCACTCTGGAGGCTGAAGCAGGCGGATTGCTTGAGCTCAGGAGTTCAAGACCAACCTGAGTAAGAGAAAAACCCTGTCTCTACTGAAAACATAAAAATTAGCTGGGCATGTGGTGGTGCCTGTAGCTCCAGCACTCAGAGACTGAGGCAGGAGGCTCCCTTGAGGCTACCGTGAACTAGGCTGATACTATGGCTCTCTAGCCTGAGGCAACAGAATGAGACCCTATCTTAGAAAAAAAATGCAAACCCTCATACATTGCCGGCAGTTAATAAAAACAATCTGGCAATCCCTCAAAGAGTTAAACAGAGATACCATGTAACTCAGTGATTCTACTTGTGGGTACATGCAGGAGAGAAATGAAAATATTCATCCACACAAAGGTTGTACACCCATGTCTGTAGCAGGTGTACTGAGCAATAGTGAAATCCCCATCTCTACAAAAAAATAAGAAAAAAGATGGAGACAACCTGTGTCCATTGACGAAGGAAGGGTTAAACACATGGTCCATCCACACGTGGGAATATCACTCCACCCTGAAAAGGAATGAGGCTCTGACACAGGGCATAACGTGGATGGTCCTTGGGGATGTCTTGTTCAGTGAGAGAAACCAGACACAGAAGGATACCCAGTGTGAGATTCCATTTATGTGAAATGTCCAGAAGAGGCAGATCCACAAAGACAGGAAGTAGATTCATGGTTGTCAAGGGCTGGGGAGGAGGAGGTGGAGTGACTTCTAATGGGGTTGGGGTTAATTTTTGAAGTGATAGAATATTCTTGAATTTGACAGTCCTGACAGTTACACAACTTTGTGAATGTGCAAAATACCATAGAATTGTATGCTTTAAAATGGTGTTATGATTTGTGAATTAAGTCTCAAAAAAAAAAAATAGCAATCCACTTTCATCCTTACACTCCTTATACTTCTTCCCTAATTTGGGATGACCTATGGATTTGTTGCATTTTTCTTGCCTTCTCCCTGAGGGATTCTGAGCTCCATGAGAACAGGGGTGCATAAGTCTAGGTCACTGCTGTGTCCTCTGTCTGGGACAGCACCAGCCATGCAGTAGGCTTTGAATAAATATTTGTTAGGTGAATGAATGAATACATAAACTTTCCATCCCCTGACCCTGTTTCCTGTTTGTCATCAGTCAAGCCTGACCCTCCAGAAGGTGTGCACCTGTGGCCCCTGCCTGGACAGAAGCTGCAGGTGAGGTGGGAGCCTCCCCAGTCCTGGCCCTTTCCAGAGATCTTCTTACTCAAATACAAGATTCGCTACAAGAGGCATGGAACTGGCCGCTTCCGCCAGGTGAGGAGGTTGTGGAGAGGTGGGAAGGATGGCACCTGATAAAGTATAAAGTGAATGGCTCATACAAAGCCCAACAGGTGTGCTGGGCCCTCACACACAGCTTGGGATTCCTGGAGTGTTACATAAGGGCAGCCCAACAATTCCACTTCTGGGTATCTACCCAAAAGAATGGCAAGCAGAGACTCAAAACAGAACCATGATTTATAATAGCCCCCAAATGGAAATAACCCACATGGCCATCAATAAATGGATAGGTAGGCTGGGTGTGGTGGCTCACACCTATAATCATAGCAATTTGGGAGGCCAATGTGGGAGGATATTGCCTGAGTTCAGGAGTTCAAGACTGGCCCAGGAATCATAATGAGACCCAATCTCTACCAAAAATAGAAAAACTAGCTGGGCATCGTGGGAGGCACCTGTAGTCCCAGCTACTCAGGAGGCTGAGGGGTCCCTTGAGCCCAGGAGATTGAGGCTGCAGTGAGTTATGATGATGCCACTGCACTCCAGCCTATGGAAACAAAGGGTCAGAGTAAGATCTTGTTTCAAAAAAAAAAGCATGATTAATGATTAATGCAGTGGGGCCTGAGGAAGAGAGGCATCGAGTCCTATCCCAGAGTCCTGGCTCAGGCTGTGGGAGGAGGATGGACACAGGTGTCCTGGTGAATGAGAACCCTCTCAGATGAAACATACACAGGGGCTGGTATGGTTCAGGAAGGATCCCTGGAAAAGGTGGCTTTGGGGTCAAGCACTGAGATCTTGAGAGGTTGGGATGGGGAAGGGCGTGTCATGCTATTTGGGATGGGGAATTATGACCCAAGGCCTGCAGCAGAGCCCACAGTAGGGAAGGCTTAGATATGTGGTTCTGTGCAGTGTCCTAGCCCAGTCTTCTCATTCTGATGATCCAACCTTCTCTGTGCTCTCAGGTGGGGCCCATTGAAGCCACGTCTTTCACCCTCAAGTCTCTGCGATCTCAAGCCAGGTATTTCATCCAGGTGGCCGCTGAGGATCTCACTGACTATGGAGAGTCAAGTGACTGGAGCCTCCCCGCAACCACCCTCACAATGCATGACTAGTGGGGGTTCCCAGTGCCCCCAAAGAGGGCTGGGCTGGGGCAGCTCCCTACAGCTCCCTAGAGCCCTATAGCTTCCAGCCCTGCTGCCAGTGATTCAAGGGTGGATGAGATCTGCCTTGTTTAGGCCTGGTTGGCCCTGGCTGGAGTCCAGGCTTTGCTGCTGCTGAGCTGCTGGGCAACCTCAGGTGACAGACTTCACCTCAGGGACCTCTGGGCCTCAGTTTCCCCCTCTGCAAAATGGGGGTGTGCTTTCATCTTTAACCATAGGGCAGGGCTAGTGAACTGTAGATGTGAGATATTTAAGAAAAGAATCTTATAATTTTAATTAAAGAATCATTATTGGCCAGGTACAATGGTTCATACTTGTAATCCCAGCACTTTGGGAGACCAAGGCAGGAGGATCACTTGAGGCTAGGAGTTTAAGACCAGCCTGAGCAATAGTGAAATCCCCATCTCTACAAAAAATAAGAAAAATTAGCTAGGTGTTCCTGTAATCCCATCTACTTGGGAGACTGAGGCAGGAGGATAACTTGAGCTCAGGAGTTTGAGGCTATAGTAAGCTATGATGACACAATTATACTTAAGCCTGGATGACAGAGTGAGATACTGTCTCAAAATTTATTGTTGGGGGTGGTGCCTGTAGCTGAAAGGAGTAAGGTGCTGGCCCCATATGCCAGAGGTTATGGGTTCAAATCCAGCCCTGGCCAAAAACTGCAAAAAAAAATTTATCGTTGGAATCAGAACCCCTCCCTTCATTCAGAACAGACCCAGAGTGGACATAGACACAACAAATCCCCACACCCCTGGGGTCAGGGCTGGACCAGATTGAGAAATCAGGGCAGTGTGCCGAGGGTTCCACATGCAATGTGGCAGTAGACTCCACTCAGTTTAGCAGTTTGGCTCCTCTACCTCCTCAGAAAGTGCCCAACTGTGAGCCCCATTATGAACAGACACAAGACAAGAAGGATGTGGGAAGATTTGTCTGAGGAGGGAGCTAGCCAGACAGGCCTTGAAGATTAGAGAAAAATCCGTGGTATGTCTGTGGGTTTCACTTGGGCCTCAACTCAAAGTCCACATCTCCTTCCCTGACTACTCTATCTGGGGCTCTCCCTAAAGATCTCTACATTCTTTTTTTTTTTTTTTTTTTGAGACAGAGCCTCAAACTGTCACCCTGGGTACCTGGGTAGAGTGCTGTGGCATCATGGCTCACAGCAACCTCCAACTCTTGGGTTTAAGCGATTCTCTTGCCTCAGCCTCCCAAGTAGCTGGGACTACAGGCACCTACCACAATGCCCAGCTATTTTTTGGTTGTAGTTGTCATTGTTGTTTGGCGGCCTGGGCTGGATTCGAACCTGCCAGCTCTTGTGTATGTAGCTGGTGCCTTAGCTGCTTGAGCTACAGGCGCTGAGCCAAGATTTCTATACTTAATCTCCAGAATTTATCAATCTAGTCTGAGACACTGCAAAAGGGACTTAGAAGGTATGATCACATTAAGAATCTTGAGGATCCTTAAAGATTAAAGATATTGGCTTGGTGCCTGTGGCTCAAGTGGCCAAGGTGCCAGCCACATACACCTAAGGTGGCGGGTTAGAATCCAGCCTGGGCCTGCCAAACAACAATGATGGCTGCAACTAAAAAAAAAAAAAAAATAGCCAGGCGTTGTGGTGGGCACCTGTGGTCCCAGCTACTTGGGAGGCTGAGGCAGGAGACTCGCTTGAGCCCAGGAGTTGGAGGTTGCTGTGAGTTGTGATGCCATGGCACTCTACCAGGGGGACAGCTTGAAGCTCTGTCTCAAAAAAAAAAAAAGAGATTAAAGATGTTTTATTAAATTAATGAAAAATACACTGTATACCACTTGGGTGATGGGTATACCAAAAGTCCAGACCCCACCATTGGACAGTACATATGTGTGTAATGGAATTTAACATGTACCCCTTAAATCTATTAACATTGTTTATAAAAGGAAGAGAACAAAAAGAAAAATAAATAAATTAATGAAAACAAAGGGGACTCAGTGCCTGTAGCACAGTGGTTACGGCACCAGCCACAAACTCCAAAGTTGGCGGTTTTGAACTCCGCCCAGGCCAGCTAAAACAATGACAACTGCAACAAAAAATAGCCAGGCATTGTAGCAGGCACCTGTAGTCCCAGCTACCATGTTTCTCCAAAAATAAGACACTGTCTTATATTTATTTTATCTCAAGAAGACACACTAGGGCTTATTTTCAGGGGATGTCTTGTTTTTATTATGTAAAATACAATAATCCACATTTATTCAAATACAGTTAAGTTATTTTCTCTGGAAGTCGTCTTTATATATATATATATATATATGTATATATATATATGATTTATTTACATTCACATCCGAGGGTCCCTACATGCCTGGCGGCCGGGCAAGGCTGTGTACATAAGGCCAAGTGTAAGTGCATGAATGCCCTTAAGACAGAGTCAGGACATGAGCTTCACATGACAGGCCTTGCATGGGGGCACAGCCAGCCTCAGGAATGGGCATGCCACGGCACACACACCTGCCATTGTACAGCCCAGGCCTCCCATTGCATATTCACATGCCCCAAGGGGTGGGGCACCTTGAGGCTAGGGGAAGAGAGGAGGGTCAGGAAGGAGCTGTTGGGTGTCCCTGGGTGGGTGGGAGAGGGCAACATGTGAGAGGCAGATGTGCACCGACACAGGTGTGAGAGATGTGAGCAGCCTCCAGGTGTACAGCATGAGATGTGTATGTGGTAGTGGTGGGGTGTGTGCATGACCCGGAAGGGGGATGCATGTGAGGTGAGCACATGAGACATGTGTGGGTGTATGCTTGTGTGGTGGTCATGTGCCTGAATCCAGGGTCCACCCCCTGTCCGGCTGTGGCCCTTGGCCCTGCAGGCTTGGAGCCAGGCCCCTCAGGTGTGCCCTACCCAGCAGGCGCAGAAATGTTTTCATAAGGTCTACCTCAGGCACAAGCTCTGGGGGCCATATCCCAAGCCCAGTGTGTGCATGCATGCCTGTGTTTATGCAGGGCCCTGGCGGGGGCAGGAAGACAGATAGAATCACACATATACACACATACAGATGGGCTGGACCTGGCCCAAGCTCCAGGCACTGTCTGCCCTGGGTGCTGGGGCAGAGTGTGACCAGGTGGCACTGCCAGCCTGGTCAGGCAGGCCATGGAGTGGTGGGAGTTTGGGCAGGGTCTGAGGGACCAGTGTTAAGGAACAACTTCAGCTGGATGGGACCTGTCCAAGCAGCTCTTCCTGGTTTGGAGGAAAGGCCCCTGTCTGGCTTCTGCCTGTCCCTGGCGGGTGCCAAAGCTAATGAGAAGGTAGGCATTTGGCCTGGCCAGCCTCAGCACTCAGCTTCAGATACACTGCATAGCCACACCCATCAGTAGGTCTTATTATCGGGGTAGGGCTTATATTTAACAAATGCATAGAAATCCTGCTAAGGCTTATTTTTTGGGTGGGTCTTATTTTCGGGGAAACACAGTGCTTGTGAGGCTGAGGCAAGAGAATTGCTTAAGCCCAAGAGTTGGAGGTTCCTGTGAGCTGTGACGCTATGACACTCTACCGAGGACAACATAATGAGACTCTGTCTCAAAAAAGAAAAAGAAAAGAAAATGAAGGGGAACTAGCCTGAGTCATGGGAGTGGGCCCAATATAATCACGAGGATTCTTATAAGATGAAGACAAGGTCAGAGCAGAGTTAGAGATAGAAGGAAACATGATAAAGGAACAAGCAGCTGGAGTGATACAGTTTGAGAAAGACTTGACTGGCTACTCCTGGTTCTGAAGATGGTGGAAGAGGCCATAAGCCAAGAGATACAGACAGCTCCAGAAGCTGGAAAAGTCAAGGAAACAGACTCTCCCTTAGAGCCTCCAGAAGGAAACAGCCAGTCCTGACCATAGATTTCGACTTCTGACCTGCAGAGCTATAATAAATATATGTTGTTTTCAGACACTGAGCTGTTGGCCCTTTGATACAAGTGGCCATAGGAGCTTCATACACCACCTGAAGTCGCCACTTCCCATCCCACTTTGTGGTCAAAAGACAAAATCACAACAAATTTAATTTAAAGGTCTTAATTGGCTTGTGATTCTAGAATCAGGTAAAACTACATTCCGTAAAATAGAATGCGGGTTCTCATGAGCTGAACAGAGGAGGTTGATTTTGTAGACAGAAAAGAAATAAGGAAAGCAGAAACAGAAAACAAAAAGTGATTGGTCACTTCAGAATTGCTTTTTTGAGTTAAAGCAAAGGGGGGCTTCCTTATCATGTTGGCTAAAACTGGCCTGTTTGGGGATTTGGTTATTTTCTCTTTCTCTCTTTCTCTTTATTTCTCTTTCTTCCTCTTTCTCTCTCTCTCTCTCTGTTGCCGTTAGGGTCTCATGGAAAAGCAATGTTGCGAAGAATAAGCACGCTTATTGAAATTGTGTTTTAAATAAAGGTGACCGGCTCAGTGCCTGTGGCTCAAGTGGCTAAGGCGCCAGCCACATACACCTAAGGTGGTGGGTTCGAATCTAGCCCGGGCTGGCCAAACAACAATGATGGCTGCAACCAAAAAATAGCCAGGTATTGTGGCGGGTGCCTGTGGTCCCAGCTACTTGGGAGGCTGAGGCAGGAGACTCGCTTGAGCCCAGGAGTTGGAGATCGCTGTGAGCTGTGATGCGACAGCACTCTATGGGGGTGGGGAGGGACAGCTTGAGGCTCTGTCTCAAAAAATAGATAGATAAATAAATAAATAAATAAAGGTGACCATCTGCTCGCTCAGGCAAAATGGCAAGCTTTCTTTATTTACTGTTGGTTTACATAATCAACCTTGTGCATGCACACTATACAGCAATGACCTCATTAACATTCATTACAATCCCTCTGCACATGCCCTCTGGATGTCAATGACTTCCCTCTGCACATGCACATTGGACATCAATGACTTCATTAATCCATTTAAACATCTTGTGACCACCCACCCTGAAAGTAGCTCCTCCCTGGTAATCTGATAATCCACCCAACATACACCTTTAAGCATAACCCTTTCGACATAACCCGGTTTAACATAACTTAATGAAGAATATGTTGTCAGTCAATACTTTCTTTGTTTCGACTCAGCGCCTGTGGCTCAAGAGGCTAAGGCACGAGCCACATACACCTGAGCTGTGGGTTCGAATCCAGCCTGGGCCCACCAAACAACAATGATGGCTGCAACCAAAAAATAGCCTGGTGTTGTGGCAAGTGCCTATAGTCCCAGCTACTTGGGAGGCTGAGGCAGGAGAATTGCTTGAGCCCAGGAGTTGGAGGTTGCTATGAGTACCATGTGATGCCATGGTACTCTACCCAGGGCGACAGCTAGAGGCTCTGTCTCAAAAAAAAAAAAAAAAAAAAATACTTTCTTTGTTCTTATCTGATGAAGCCTGAGACTATGGAGAAACAAGGTTGATTGAATACCTGCCCTTCCTGGCTTTGCCGCTTGGAGGCTGTTACTTCGAATCCTAAGCAAGGCATAAAGAAACTTCTTGGGCATACAGAAATTTGTGTGCAAACCTCTGCTCCCATGTGGGCCTTAAGTCAGGGGGTTTTTGCTGGAAACTTTTATAAGGAATTTTCAGGCTAAACTTCTCAAAGCCTTTCACAAGCCTAGGTTTCATCTGTGCCATTAGATATCTGTATGCATTAGGTAAATTCCTCTTGAGGTCCCTGAGCACATTTCCAGACCTGTCAGCAAGCGACCTTCATCACTTACCACAGGTCAGGAAAGGTTACTGATGGGTATCTGGCCAGTTTTCCAAAGGGCTTTTTTTTTTTTTTTTTGGAGATAGGAGCCTCAAGCTGTTCTCCTGGGTAGAGTGCCATGGCATCATAGGTCACAGCAACCTCCAACTCCTGGGCTCAAGCGAGTCTCCTGCCTCAGCCTCCCGAGTAGCTTGAGCCACAGGCGCCGAGCCCAAAGGGCTTTTTTATTGGCCTTATAAAGTCAACCTTAATTCCTTAATGCAGTCTGGACATCTCTGGAAATGCCATTCCAGCCAGAGCTTTGGTCATGTTAGGCCAGCCATATGGGATTCTGCCTCAGTTTCTCACAAGTATGCCTGCACAAAGTCTTTTAACTGCTCTCAAACAGCTTTTTTGGCCAGAGGCATATAAGCATTTCACCTATACTCTCTCCTGATTTCTGGGAAGGTCAGATAAAATAGTTTCAGCTTGATGGCATGGAACATCAGCATGAGTGACTCCGTTTTGGTCTGGGCTGTTGGACCTAGTCCAAGAACTCTGTCCAAACCAATGACTTCCTGTAAATCTTATGTAACGCCATACATTGCCCTGCATTATGATCTTCCAATCATTTGAAATGCTCCATAATGGCCCTTTTTGTTTATTGTCTATCTGTCCCACCAGAGAGACAAGGATTTCTATGAATATAGGAATCTTATGTCTTCTGATGTGTCTTCCAGTTAGTGATTTGAACTAAAACAAAATCTTAAGACTCCCCATTAGGCTCAGTGTCTGTGGCTCAAGCAGCTAAGGCACCAGCCATGTACATCCAAGGTGGCGAGTTCGAACCCAGCCCGGGCCCACCAGACAACAATGATGGCTGCAACCAAAAAAAATAGCCGGGCATCATGGCGGGCGCCTGTGGTCCCAGCTACTTGGGAGGCTGAGGCAGGAGACTCACTTGAGCCCAGGAGTTGGAGGTTACTGTGAGCTGTGATGCCATGGCACTCTACCCAGGGGGACAGCTTGAGGCTCTGTCTCAAAAAGAAAAATAAGAAGACTCCCCATTGAATGGACTCCCTCCTGGCCAAGGGGACCCCAGAAAAATCTTAAAGCTGAGTTGCCAGCCATGAGGATAAGAGAAATCAGATAAGCCTATGAGACAAAGATTAAACCTCTCCTACAAGTCATCAGTTTACTTAGCTCACTTGAGTCTTCTTTTTTTCCTTTTTCTTTCCTTCTTCTTTTTTTTTTTTTTTTTGAGACAGAGTCTCACTATGTCACCCTCTGTAAGTACTATGGTGTCATAGCTCACAGAAACCTTAAACTCTTAGGCCTAAGCAATTCTCTTGTCCTAGCCTCTCAAATAGCTTAGACTATAGGCGCCCGCCACAATGCCCAGCTATTTTTTGGTTGTAGTTGGCCCAGGCTGGATTTGAACCCACCGCCTCTGGTGTATGTGGCTGGTGCCCTAGCCACTGAGCTACAGGCACCAAGCCAGATCACTTGAGTCTTAGTGTATGTCCATTGGCTTGTCTCTGATTAACAGGTTTTGTTATCTTAAAACATTCCAAGCTTTTAGACAAAACTTTATTTATTTAACCAATTACAAATCAAACGATCTTTCAACTCAGCCATAACTTGTAAGCCCCTAGATTCAAGATGGCCTGTCTTCAGGCTCAACCAAAGTATGCTTTCCACATATTGATTCATTATTTTAAGTGTAATTCCTGTCTCCCTAAAATGTATAAAACCAAACTGTAACCCAACCATGAATGGACCACTTGCTCAAGGGTCTCTTGGCCATGTTCGCCATGTATTCAGATCAGAATAAACCTCTTTAAATTATTTAATAGGGTTTGGTTCCTTTCTGTCAGCAAGATATCTGACATAGAGCAAACATTCATGAGAGGGGAGGAGGCTGGGAAAGGTACAGGCTAGGACATTTTTAAAGGGAAGACAGTGGTGGGCAATGGAGGGACATTTGGGATATACTGTATATGTTCGGGAGATGTATTTGGAGCCTGATCGATCGTTCAGTTGACGCCTGAAGATAAACACGGGGTGGGGCGTCCAAGGTGGTCTTATGTCGCCATATGTGTGTAGCCCCCAGTCTCCTGTGAGAGTTGAAGACACATAGCCCAGGACACAGGACAGGCGTTTCAAGTATTTTTGCTGAATGAAAGAATAAACAACAGGGAGTGAGCCTTGCCACAAATTTAAGGAGCCTCTGCCTGCTTATGGGGGGCGCAGCGCCTCCTCAAAACTTTCCAACGCCAGAAGGCATCCCGGAACCTTTATCTCGTGCTACCGACGTTGCTACTCCGGAGGAATGAAGGCAGGACTTACAGCCTGATAGACGGTGATTGCAGATGACGAAGAAGGCAAACAGTGTATCCTGTAGCCAATAATACAGGCTGAAAGCGGTGACGTTTACGGAAGTACAGGATTTAGTAGGAGCCTTTCGATAATTACCGCCACTAGTTCTCTGGTGCTTGTACGGCAATTAGAGTGCTTGTTTGAGCAGCCACCAAAGATGTCGGAGAGAAAGGTTTTAAACGTAAGTGTTGGGCGAATGGGGATTTTTAACCGGAGCGGAATATCTGAGAACTCCGGGAGTGGGCGGGATGTTCTCTGGGACTCTTACACTTCTTCCTCAACGGCCTTCCGCGGGGAAAGCGTTTCTCAAACCCTTCCCAATCACCTTCTTTAACGGGTGGGCCTTCGCTAAGCTTCCCTTCCGGGCTAGATTGTAGCCAATCATATGTAGGGGGCGGAGCTTGAGATGTTTACCCAATCACTTCCCCTGATTGGATTTTCCGAAGGAAATGGTCTGATCATTTTCTGTGGAGGCGGGGCTTTCCTAAAACACCGCAATCTTGTTTATACACCGTCCCCTTCAGGGGCGGGACTCCCGTAATCCCCACCCCGTATGTCATCTCTAGCTAAACATGTAGGTGACCCGCAGTTCCCTTCCCCTAGTTGTAACAACTCCTGTGCCTGACTCTCTCAAGGGAAAACTAGTGCTCTGTTAGTTTATGCTCCTAATCACCAGACCACACAGTTTCCCCAAGTCATGTCCCTGGATATGAATCCTGAATAGCTGAAAGCTTCCGGACTCTGTGCAATGAGTACATTGCTGTCTCTTAGAGTCTTTGCAAGGATTCCTCCAGGCCCAGTAGATTAAGTACTCTGTGTACTGTCTGGAGCCTAATAGGTGCTCAGAACACAAAAGTACTTCATTTTCTGGTTTTTCAGTGGAAGATATATATGTATATTATTTTGTTTGTTTTTTGTTTCCTTGAGAAAGAGTCTCACTATGTTGCCCTCGGTCGAGTGCTGTGGCATCACAGCTCACAGAAACCTCAAACTCTTGGGCTTAAGCTATTCTCTTGCCTCAGCCTCCCAAGTAGCTGGGACTACAGGCACCCACCACAATGCCCAGCTAACAGTGGAAGATATTTTTCATAAATCAAATGTGCCCTTCTCATGCAGAAGAGTTATTACTGCATTAGACCTGAATAACTGCTCTCCTTAGAAGACCTGCATGCAACTTGAATTCAGGATGGCTCCCCTGAGAATGGCTGTCAGTGCTTAAGCTGTACCAACAATATGGTTTATGCTGAATCCCAGCTCTCCTGGGTGTCTAGAATCTTTTGGTAACTACCAGCAGAGAGTGCTTGTATGAGCAGCCCCCAAGAAAAACCCTGGGTCTCTGTGAGCCTCCCTTGTAGACAGTGTTTCACACTTGTCATGACTTCTTGTTGGGGGAATTAAATTTTTTCATAGCCATGAAGGTATCTGTGTTGAGTCCACCTTGGAAATCATTGAACCTGGGGTGGTCTTAGGGACTACCTGACACAGCTCCCCAGAGTCCCTTCCCTCTGCCCATGGCCAGTCTCTGCTTCAGAAAACAGCTCCACCTAATGCTTCTATCCTCCCTACAGAAATACTACCCACCGGATTTTGACCCGTCAAAGATCCCCAAACTCAAGCTCCCCAAAGACCGACAGTACGTGGTGCGGTTGATGGCACCCTTCAACATGAGGTAGGAACCCTCCCCATGTGATCCCTCCACTCTGGCTGTGATTGATGGAACCAGTGCCTAGTGTTAGTGGTCCTGGCTCAGACGGTGCTCTGAGCTTCACTTTCCTCACTATTCAGGATTGAGCTCTCAATATCTCAGAGTCCCTAACCAGTTCCTGCATCGTGGTCTTGATGATAAAAATATGAGCACAGGCTTGGCACTTGTAGCTCAAGCGGCTAAGGAGCCAGCTACATACACCAGAGCTGGCAGGTTTGAATCCAGCCTGGGCCTGCCAAACAACAATGACAACTACAACCAAAAAATAGCCAGGCATTGTGGCAGGCGCCTGTAGTCCCAGCTACTTGGGAGGCTGAGGCAAGAGAATCGCTTAAGCCCACAAGTTGGAGGTTGCTGTGAGCTATGATGCCACTGCACTGTACCCAAGGCGACAGCTTGAGGCTCTGTCTCAAAAAAAAAAAAAAATGTGAGCACAGAGATGGGCCCTGTACATGCATGTAACCTCCTCCAGCAGCTGGGCTCATTCCTATTTCAGGTCCTTTGCACATGCTATTGCTTCTATTGACTTGTTGGGGGAATTAAATGCATTCATAGCCATAAGAGTATCTATGTTGAGGCTTAGGAATCCTCCCTGCAAAGCCTCTCCCTCCACATGTCAGTCTCCACTTCACCCTTCCACTCTCAGTCCCTCTGGGAGGCCTTCATTATTCCCCTGACAGCACTCATATCCTGTCCTTTGTAGTATTCTGGAATTACTGCATCCACCCAATTCTAAACCCCACACTTTTCACAATTTTAGCATATCAGAATCACATACTTTTTTTTTTTAATTCCAGTTTATTTTTATTTATTTATTTATTTATTTGAGGCAGAGTCTCCCTGTCAACCTCCGTAGAGTGCTATGGTGTCACAGCTCACAGCTACCTCAAACTCTTGGGCTTAAGCAATTCTTTTGCATCAGCCTCCCAAATAGCTGAGACTATAGGCACCTGCCACAATGCCCAGCTATTTTCTTGTTGTGGTTGTCATTGTTTGGTAGGCCAGGGCCATGTTTAAACCCACCAGTCCCAGTATATGTGGCTGACGCTCTAGCTGCTGAGCTACAGGTGCTGAGTCTGAATCACATACTCTTAACTGCAGAAGTTACCTTTGGGTCAATGTAATTTCGTCCATGGTTACTTGTTCTTAACCTGTCTACTTTCTCTTTCCCCTTCATTCATTCATTTATTCTTTCTACACTCTTTTTTGGCACCTGCTTTGTGCTAGTCTATGATGGGCACCAGGGACAAAGTCCCCAGCCACACAGAACCCAGAATCTAATGGGGAGTAGAGATTATCAGTGCTCAGGTGGGTTCACATGAGGCATACATGGGACACATAAGGCCTGGATGCCACATGAGCAGCTGGATTGTGTCTGAGAGTGTGTAACAGGCAATCTCACCTAGTCTGGCTGCTTCCTAAGGAGCTGATACTTGGACCAAGACCCAGGAAGATATGGATGAGAAGAGCCTTCCAGGTAGAGGGAATCCAAACACAGTGTGGCAGGCAGCTCTGTGAGGGAGGGAGCTCCCCCTTTTTGGAGGCAGGCAAGCAAGTGGGAATCATAGGATGCCATAGCATTCTACCAGTATAACCCAGAATACCAAGAGCTCAGATCTGTTGATCCTGCCCACAGGTGCAAGACATGTGGAGAGTACATCTACAAGGGAAAGAAGTTTAATGCTCGGAAGGAGACAGTGCAGAATGAAGTCTATCTGGGCCTGCCCATCTTCCGCTTTTATATTAAGTGCACCCGCTGCCTGGCAGAGATCACGTTCAAGGTAGGCCAGTCCTTCCTTCCCTAGCCATCCTTGCAGGTGAGGGCCCTGGGTATTACCTGTGAAGATCCTCTGCCTCCAGGGAATGCCCTTATAGTTTATCCCCAGAAAATAATGATTTTGAGGGAATGATCATAGCAACATTATATATAAAAACAAAAAGCTGGAATAACCTAGATATATAATAATGGGGGATTGGAAGAGCAAATTACTGTACAATGGAATTTTACATAGCCAATAATAGTTAGGTTTTTAGGCTTGGCGCCTGTAGCACAGTGGTTACAGCGCCGGCCACATGCACCAAGGGTGGCAGATTCGAGCCCAGCCTGGGCCAGCTAAGCAATGACCAACTGCAAAAAAAAAAAAATAGCTAGGCATTGTGGTGGGTGCCTATAGTCCCAGCTACTTGGTAGGCTGAGCCAAGAGAATTGCTTAAGCCCAAGATTTTGAGGTTGCTATGAGCCATGATACTCTTTTGAGGGCAACATAGTGAGACTCTGTCTCACCCCCACCAAAAAAAAAATTAAGTTTTTACTTTTATTGTTACCCTAAGGATTTGAAGAGAACTTTTAATTTTGTCTTCCTGAACTACTGTACTATTTTTTTTTTTTGTAGAGACAGAGTCTCACTTTACTGCCCTCAGTAGAGTGCTGTGGCATCACAGCTCACAGCAACCTCCAACTCCTGGGCTTAGGCGATTCTCTTATCTCAGCCTCCTGAGTAACTGGGATTATAGGTGCTGGCCACAATGCCAGGCTATTTTTTTGTTGCAGTTTGGCCAGGGCCAAGTTTGAACCCACCACCCTAGGTATATGGGGTCCTACCCACTGAGCCATAGGCACTGCCTATTTTAGTATTTAGTTTTTTTTGTTTTGTTTTGTTTTTAGTGTTTAGTATTTGGGGGGGGTTGTCATGAATTTTTTTCTTTGATGGAAAAGTAAGGTTTGGGGCCGGGTGTGGTGGCTCATGCCTGTAATCCTAGCACTCTGGGAGGCTGAGGCAGGTGGATTGCCTGAGCTCACAGATTTGAGACCAGCTTTAGCCAGAGAGAGACCTCATCTCTAAAAAATAGCCGGGGGCAGGGGGCTTGATGCCTGTAGTTCAACAGCTAGGGAGCCAGCTCCATGCACCGGGGCTGGTGGGTTTGAACCTGGCCCAGGCCTGCTGAATAATAATAACAATAACAACAATAGCAACAACAAAAATAGCTGGACGTTGTGGCAGGTGCCTATAGTCCCAGCTATTTGGGAGGCTGAGACAAAAGAATGGCTTCAGCCTAAGAGTTGGAGGTTGCTATGAGCTGTGATGCTAGGGCAGTAAACCTAGGGTGACAGCTCAAGACTCTTATCTCAAAATAAATGAATAAATAATCAGGAAAAAAAAATAGCTGGGCTTTGTGGCAGGTACCTCTAGTCCCAGCTACTTGGGAGACTGAGGCAAGGGAATCACTTGAGCCCAAGTGTTTGAGGTTGCTGTAAGCTGTGATATGATGCCACAGCACTCTAGCAAGGGCGACAAAGTGAAACTGTCTCAAAAGAAAAAAAAATTTCTATGCATATATGTACATAGGGATTAGTCTCTCACTTTCTTTTCTTTTCTTTTTTTTTTT